AATTGAACTCAGGACCTTTGGAAGAGCAGACAATGCTCTTAACCACTGAGCCATTTCTCCAGCCCCCCTTTTTTTTCTTTATGTAATTTTTTAGGTATGAATATTCTATCTGCATGTATGCCTGCATGTCAGAAGAAGGCATCCATCACAGATGGCTGTGAGTCAGCAGGTGGTTGCTGGGATTTGAACTCAGGTCCTCTGGAAGGGCAGCCAGTGCTAACTGCTGAGTCATCTCTCCAGTCCTTTTCTTTTTTAGACATGGTCTCTCTATGACACCCTGGTTGTCTTGGAGCTCACTCTGGCCTCAAACTCAGCAAGGCCCTCCTACCTCTGCCTCCCGAGTCCTTGATTAAAGGAAAGGAGTTCACCACTATTCCAGACTCACCGTCTTTTCTTTTATGAGACAAGGTCTCATGCAGCCCAGGCTGGCTTTGAACTGCCTATGTCCACGAACCTGATTCTTTGGCCCCCACTCTTAGAGTGCTGTGATCACTGGCAGGTGCCGCTATGCCTGGTTTATGCTGTGCTTGGGATTGAACCCAGGATTTTGTGCACAATGGGCAGGCAATTATTTTGTTTTTTGAGACAGGGGCTCACACTGCAGCCCAAGCTTGCCCTTAAACTCATAGCAATGCTCCTAGCAAGGCTTCTGAGTGTGAGAGTCACCACACCACCTGACTGTTATACACTTCTAGCCCACTGGTCAGACTGTATCACATGACCACATCAGTCATAAAAACAGCTGGGGAATAAAGCCCTTATATCTGGCCACGTGCCCAGCTAAAAGACTGAAGGAGATGAGAAAGATTCAAAGACACTTGGTTTGATTTTCTTTTCTTTTTTTTTTTTTTCTTTTTTTGGTTTTTTTTTGAGACAGGGTTTCTCTCTAGCTTTGGAGCCTGTCCTGAAACTCACTCTGTAGACCAGGCTGGCCTCGAACTCACAGAGATCCACCTGCCTCTGCCTCCTGAGTGCTAGAATTAAAAGCATGTGCCACCACCACCTGGCGGTTTGATTTTCTTGCCCTTTTAAGATAGCATCTCTCTATACAGTTAAGGCTGGTCTCAAATTTGTAGCATTCTCACTCAGCTTCTAAATGTTACAAGTGTGCACCAGCAGCCAGTTGTGGTGGTGCATACCAGTAGGATTTGTGAGTTCAAGGCCAGCCTGGTTCCAGGATAGACTCCAAAGCTACAGAGAAACCCTGTCTCAAAAAACCAAAAACCAAACAAACAAACAAAAAACCAAAAACAAAACAAAAGAAACAAAAAAAAACAAATGCATTAGCACACTCAGCTTGAGGACTAGGATCGTGGCATAGGAAGCCTAACTCTGCCACCCTGCTCAAGAGGTAGATTTGAAACCGGGCGGTGGTGGCGCACGCCTTTAATCCCAGCACTCGGGAGGCAGAGGCAGGCGGATCTCTGTGAGTTCGAGACCAGCCTGGTCTACAGAGCTAGTTCCAGGACAGGCTCCCAAACCACAGAGAAACCCTGTCTCGAAAAATAAAAAAAAAAAAAAAGAGGTAGATTTGAACTGTAAGGTGGATATTTCAGTCTCCTCCCTGTATTTCTGAGATAAGTCTCTTTCATGGGCATAGGCACAAACTCCCTGACCTTAAACTCTTGATCCTCCTGCCTCTGCCTCTCAAGTTATGGAGTTCTGGGCAGGTGCCACCATGCCTGGCTTCCAAGCTCATTCTTGACGGCAGAATCTTATTCACCCCACTTATGGAAGGAACCATGTTCACTCTTTCCTTGCCGTTTCTGGAGGTCCCCCACATTGTTGTCAAAGGCCCTTTCATCCTTAAACCAGCCGGGACACATACAATCCTTCTCTTGCTTTGTTTCCTTGCCTGTGTCCTCTGCATCCAGGATGGTCTCCGCTGGTCAAGAGCTGGGGAGAGAAGACAGGCCACCTGAGAGATTCTCCCACAAAGTAGCTTTACCAAAGCAGGAAACCACCTGGTGCAAGCCCAGGGGTTGTGCTGGAAGTGTCCACTAGGAGGCCTTGCAATCTTGGTGCTGACTCCTAACTCTTCCAGACACAAGCCTAAACTTCGAACTGGCTCACCCCTGCCTCTCTCTCTGCAGAGGACATCCTGGGTGTGCAGGCTTCACGGCCCTGGGAATTTTACCCCAGCAGCTCCTGCCGTACTGTGGTCTTCCCACTGCTGACCTCTGGCTCTACCTTCTGGTTGCTCAGGTTCTGGGAAGAGCTGGGGCTCTGGCCTGGTCTGGTGAGTGGCTACGTGCTGCTGGTGGGGCCCCGACTCCTCTTCACTACCCTCTCCTTTGCCCTGGACTGGGCTGTGTACTACTTGGCCCCGCTGTGGGGGTCAGATCGCTGGAATGCTATGTGCCTGCTGTCTGGGTCCTATGTCACCCTGGTTTTCTACACAAGGACTTTCTCCAACACCATCGAGGGACTGCTCTTCACATGGCTGCTGGTGCTGGTGTCCCCTTATGTGGCATGGAATCCCACATCAGAGAAGCCTACTCCAGGCCCATGGTGCCATAGTTGCCTTCTCGGTGCTGTCATGGCTGCCGGCTTCTTCAATCGCCCAACCTTTCTAGCCTTTGCTCTGGTCCCCCTCTCTCTCTGGGGCATCCACAGAACCTTGAAACCTAGCATCACGGCCTTGATCCAGGAGGCCCTGGTGCTGTTGCCAGGGGCTGCTCTTGCTGCAATGCTGTTTATAACCATGGACAGCTGGTACTTCTCCAGCCTCTCCAGATCCAGTAGCCTTGTTCTCACACCTCTCAACTTCTTGTACTACAATCTGGACCCCCAAAACCTCGCAAGGCATGGCACACATGCACGGCTCACTCACTTGGCAGTCAATGGCTTCCTGCTCTTCGGGGTATTGCATGCTCAAGCCCTGCAGGCTGCATGGCAACAACTCCATAGCTGCTTCCGTGTGTTTGTGCAAACGGGCTTCTTGGGGATGCTGGGTGCCCGTGGCCTACTGTCTAGCTCCAAGTCTCATCTCCTTCTCCTCTACTTCACACCCCTGGTCCTGCTATCTGCCTTTAGCCACCAAGAGCCTAGATTCCTGATTCCCCTCATAGTCCCTCTAGTCCTGCTTTGCAGTCCACAAACCCAGCCTATACCCTGGAAGGGCACCCTGGTCCTCTTCAATGCCCTAGGTGCTCTCATCTTTGGCTGCTTGCATCAGGGAGGCTTGGTACCCGGCCTGAAGTATCTGGAACACGTAGTCCATGCACCCGCCCTCCCGGGCACGACCACACACTACATGCTTCTCTTTACTCACACCTACATGCCTCCCCAGCACCTCCTGCACCTCTCAGGCCTGCCATCGCCTGTGGAGGTGGTGGACATGGGTGGGGCTGAGGACTGGCTCCTGTGCCAAGCCCTGAACAACTTCAGCGGACAACCAGCCTGTCGACTGGCCGGCGGGCCACAGCTCTGCCGCCTCTTTGTAGTAACTCCAGGGACCAACAGGCATGCTCTGGAGAAGTGCGGTCTTCCTCTCAAGAATGAGACCCTCCTGTTTCCTCACTTGACCCTGGAGGACCCTCCAGCCCTGTCCTCCCTACTCAGCCAGGCTTGGAGGACCCACCTTAGTCTTCACATCATAGAGCTGGAGGACGCCCTGTCATGACAAAGGAGCCATGGCCCAGGATTCAGCCATAGAAGGAAGGTGCCACCCCACCTTCTACACAGGCTGCTGGGCTGGGACACTGGAACAGACTCCCACTGCTGGCTCTTCTGGGCACAGTGACAGGTTGTTCCTCTAGGTGAGACACCAAAGATCTGACCAGTCATGGTCCCAATGCCAAGGTCCCCAAAGAAACCTAGCACACCCACTGGCACGTGTCTATTTCTACGCCATTACTTCCGATTGCTGTAATGTCTAAAATATATAGTCGCACCTGGTTATCAAAGACAGTGAACTGCTGCTGACATCCCGAGTGGGCCTGCCCAACTTCTGACAATGCCTGACTTCTTGCTACCATCATTTCCAATCTCACAGTGTGAAGTGGGGACAGAGGGGCCTCACAGCTCTAGTCCCTAGCCTGTGACTCACAAACTGACGTGAAGGAAGTCCCTTCCACTTGGCCAACCACCACCCTGACGGATGAGAGGATCCTGAGGTCAGTGTGAGCTCACGTCCCATGGTTTGATACGCATGTCTCCACAAGGCTCTTTCTCTAGGAAGCCGTAGTTGTGTTGTATTTCATAGCACTGTGGTGCCTGCAGACGCAGTGTTTGGGTAGAACCAAAACAAACCATTCTAGAAAATGCCTCCTTCTCCTCTCCTACTCCTTTTCTTGAGCAGTGGTGGAATTATCCCAGCCATTCTCTCAAAGATTGGGTAATGTAGCTCAGGAGACGAGTGCCTATTTAGCAGGCTCAAAGCTGTAGGAACTACCCCCTGCACCAAGAAGAATCACTCTCCCAGAATGAAGAACCCAGGTGCTCTCCCTCCTCAGCGCTGCCATGAGGCCCTCTTAGCCCGCCCCAGGGGGAATTGAGAACACAGACTGCTCAGAATCTGGTACCCAGTCTAAAAGCTTTTCCAACAGCTTCAAGCCTTCCAGATGCCAACGTTAACTGAGTGGCTTAAATAGAGGTCTAGAAATTGAGTTAGGAAGCCTCAAAAAGACAGGGGGGTTACATGCATGGGTCTCCCAATCACAGTTTAGTTAGCTGGCTACAGTGAGTACCCTAGCAGACCCTCGAGAGCAAGAAGAGGAAGCCAAACATCGTGTGTCACTGTATCAGAGGGGACAGAAAAGGCAGTCTCTGAGTAGCACAGATGCTGTGAAGAGTAGTGGGGGTGATCAAGACTACAGACCCTGGAGATACATGCCTGGGCTCCTCACTCTGCAAGGCTTCTGAGTTACTCGAAAAGTAGCCTCCATCCTCACACGAATGGAGTTTTAAGTCAAAAACCACACAGAATGTAAGAGCAAATATCAACAGACACTCAATGTGTTAACTATTAAGTTAGCAAGATCCTTCAGACTTATCAATCAGCTTACACATTTAATCAAAGATTGTGGCAACCTCAGGGTTATCATTCCATCCACCATCTTCCCTGTTATTCTGCTCCAGACGTAGATGCAGCAGCATTTATTCAGCTTCAGTCCCGCTTGTAGAGAGCAGGCCATGGTTGGCCATGGCTCTCAGTAGTGCAATGTTCAGGTCTAGACTCTTTTATCTCTGGTGGCCTTCGGGGTCTTTATGTCCTGCCAGTCATAGGACTAGCACATGTCCATTTGAACGTAGGCATCTGCATGTTGACAATCCGAGTCAGGATTCGAAGCAGTGCATCGTGCCCGAGATGACTCCTGAACGCAACGGTCGGTGTAGATCACTGAAGGGAGGAGGGGACGTGACCTCGGCCAGGCAGAGTCCAGTCTGTGCTTACGCCTTGGTGCCCGGGCCCTTCTGATGACCTGGGGGTGGTCCTGGACGCTCCCGGAGGCCGCGGCGGAGTTCCTGAGTGAATGTGTCCTTGAACCGCGCGACTCGGCGCCCCAAGGAGCCCGGGGACTGACCCGCGAGGGCTCGCAGGCGTCCGGCTGCATCGCGGCCGCGCAGTTGCAGCTGCAGCAGGGCGAAAGCTGTGAGTTGCGCCGCCCGCCGGATGGGCCGCGACTCGGACAGCCGCTCCACCAGCTGCGGGTTGTGCAGCAGGGCAGCCAGCAGCCGCCGGAAAATCATCGTCCTCCGAGCGCCCGGGAACCCGGAGCTCGCCGCGCTCGCTTTCCTACCGGCCACACCGGACGACGGACAAGTCGGCGCCTCCTGATGACGACACAGCCGCGGCAGGATTGGACCCGACCACGTCCGCCCACTGCAGCACGCCGCCCACATTTCCGTTTCCGCCGCCGCCAGGTTCTTCCAGCCGTGGCCGCGTCGTGGTTCGCGTCTTCGCACCATGTCCGGTGGCCTCCTGAAGGCGCTGCGCAGCGACTCCTACGTGGAGCTCAGCGAGTACCGGGACCAGCACTTCCGGGTGAGGCGGCCGGGCCACGAGAGGGGCAGGCCTTGGGTCCGAATGCTGAGGAACGGCTTGCACCTGTCTTATTGTGTCTTCCTGCCTGTTTTGTTGGGGTCCTAAAGTGCGAATGGGGTCCTAGCGGTGTTTGGATATCACTGAAGCCCTTTCTCTCCTAGGGAACCTGAGACTTGTTTTAACATTCTCTTACTGCCGCTGCGCTTACCAGCACCGATGCAGGGAGGTCCGGGTGTGGTGGCTGTGGATGGGCTTGTCCTGCTTGGGAAAGTGACTGAAATGAAGAAGGAGGTATCCCTACGATGGCTCCGTACATTATTGCCGGGTTTTGTTTGTTTTTTTCGAGACAGGATTTCTCTGTAGCTTTGGAGCCTGTCCTAGAACTAGCTCTTGTAGACCAGTCTGGCCTCGAACTCACAGATCCGCCTGCTTCAGTCTCCCGAGTGCTGGGATTAAAGGCGTGTGTCACCACCGCCCGGCTCCGTTTTTGGTTTTAATAATCAGCCAAACACTGCCGTTTGGCACTACAGCCCTTTGTTTTGTAAGACTATCCTACAAAGTGGGCAGTAAGTAGGAGACTCAAAGTTGAATCCTGTTTTTGCTGTCTGTCGGGCATCGGAAATAGACAAGCCACACGAGTCACATCAAGGTCTGGACGACAAAATCCAGTACAGCCATTGACTACACAGAGAAACCCTGGCTCACAAAACGAAAAGAAAATTAGCCTAATTTGAAAACGTCTCCTGTGTGTCTGATATGAATTTCTGCCGCTTTTTACAGGTCTCACTACTTTGAACAGTTCCACATTAACACCTAACCGTTTTCCACCTGAAGCTTCCTGGGTAAAACCAGGAAAGGACTCTTTTGTCAAAAGCTTGTAGCTCCCTTCAAACAGTAATGATTTCTGTCATGTGCATTTTCAAATGTCTTCTAAATGGAATGTATCAGGGCTGCACTGAGTGGGAAATTACATTATGCTGAAGCAGTAGACTGGATTTTACTTGTGGGAAAAGAGCAGCAGTACAAAGTGAATCCGCTAGCCCGTTGTGGTGGGGACATCTGTAGTCCTCAGTGAATCCGCTAGCCGTGTGTGGTGGGGACATCTGAAGTCCTCAGAGTGAATCCGCTAGCCGTGTGTGGTGGGGACATTTGAAGTCCTAGCTGTTCTGGAGACTGGGGCAGGAAGATCACAAGTTTGAGATCCGCCTGCACCTGTACGAAGAAATGAAGTGATTGTTTTCTCTAATGGCTCGTCTAAAGTTCTAAAACCTGAGGCTCATTTGGGTTTTTGGTTGTTTGTTTTGGGGTTGTTTTTTGAGACAGGCTTTCTCTGTGTAACCACCCTGGCTGTCCTGGATCCCCCTGCAGATCCGTCTGTGGCAGACTCAGGAACGCTGGGATGAAAGTGTACGCCACCCATCATCCGGCTGTTTATTTGTTTGAGCACACAGTGACTACTGTTCCATAGACGTCACCTGTTCAGACCTGCCGTGATCTTAAGGCAATGCTGCAGTGGGGATATAAGACCAGAATTTTACTTTATTTTGCTTTCTGAGACAAGGTCTCACTTATAGCCTGGCTGACCTGGAACTCATCATGTAAACCAGGCTGGCTTTGAACTCACCAGAGGATTAAAAGGGTATACTCCACCATGCTCAGCCCAAAACTAAGTTTGAATTCTGGATATAACTCCTGTGTTTTTCCCTTAGCTGAAACTGTTTTCCCTCACATGTACAATGGGAATAATACATTAGGACCTACCACATCATAGTTCTGAGAATTAAAGAAAACTTAAATGTAGCTTTCTCACCTGCAGGCCTTTGTGCCTTCACAGGGGCAGGCAAAATCACTTGCGTATTATAGCTCCACGTTCTTCCTTTTTAATACTGTAGCTAGGAGGGTCAGAGAGATGGCTCAGAGGTTAGCGTAGACTGTTCTTCTGGAAGACTTGGAGTCGGTTCCTAGCACCCACATGATGGCTCACAATATCTGTAACTGATTCCAGCTGATCTGCTGCCCTCTTCTGGTCTCCGAAGACACTAGCCATGCACACGGTGCACAGACAGACAGGCAGGCAAGACACCAATACGAATAAAATAATAGACCCAAACCAAACAAAAAACAAAAAAAAAAACTGGAACTTGGGAGATGGGTGTGATGATCCATTCCTGTTACTGAAGCCTGTGGTGGAGGTAGTAGCATGAATGTCACGAGTTTGAGGCCAGATTGGGCTATGGTCTTATCTCAAAAGCAAAACAAAGTAACTGGGCTACTTAGACATAGCTCAATAGGTAGAATGCTTGCCTAGCATGCAGGCAGGAAGCGCTCAGGTAGACCCTGAGCTGTACATAAACCCAGAGTGGTGAATGCCTGTAAACCCAATACTTGGAAGATGGAGGCAGGAGGATCAGAAATTCGGTGTCATCTTTGGTTACATAGTAGGTTCAGAAAAGCCTTAGCTACATGAAACCCTGTCTCAAAAGCAAAACAACAAAAAAAGACTCACCTTTTTTTTTTCTTTTTGTGGGGGAGGTGCGGTTCTAGATAGGGTTTCTCTGTGTAGCTTTGGAGCCTGTCCTGGAAAGAACTCGCTCTGTAGACCAGGCTGGCATAGAATTCACTTATACCCACCTGCCTCTGCCTCCCGAGTGCTGGGATTAAAGGTGTGCACCGCCACCGCCCAGCTTCAGAACTGCCTCTTATGGCAAGGACGAGTATGTCAGGGGTCGGATGATGCAAAGCTTTAATTTCCAGATCAGAAGGGGCATCTGTGTAACTTTAAGATTGTAACTTTAAGCAGGCTCTAGAATTTAGTTTTCAAGTTCGTTCATTTTGTGTGTGTGTTATGCTTGTGGAGGGCACAGGAAATGTCAGGAAGTGTCCCTCACTTTCACATCTGAGGACTCACTCTTGTTTCTGCTCTACACTGTGGACTCCAGGCGAGGCTGGCCTCAAGCTTCAAGGAGACTGTCCCATCTCACAGCCCTGTCTCCTGTAGGAGTGCTGGGATTGCCCATGCGAGACACCACATCCAGCTTTTCACTAGGAAGGGTTCCAGGGTCAAGCTCAACTGTCCGGCTTGCACAGCTGGCGCTTTACTGGCTGGGCATCTATAGCCCTAAGCACATCTCTTTTGAGGTTGTAATGTTTCACTTGGTCTCTATTTGAAATTCTAGGGGGACAATGAAGAACAAGAAAAATTACTGAAGAAAAGCTGTACATTATATGTTGGAAATCTTTCCTTTTATACAACTGAAGAACAGATTTATGAGCTCTTCAGCAAGAGTGGTGATATAAAGAAGATCATCATGGGTCTGGATAAGATGAAGAAAACGGCCTGTGGCTTCTGTTTTGTGGAGTATCCTTCTTGGGGCTCACCCTATGGCCCTGGCTCATCTGGAGCCTGTCCCTCCTGGGTGTTGTTTTTAAGGCACTAACTTATTATAATCCTATACTTTTCTCTCAGTTCTTCCTGAGTCATACTCTGTGAACTGGGAAACTGATAGGTGTTCTCTGTTCAGAAACTTCACAGATGAGTCTTTAAGAAAAAGGGTCTAGGGGGCTGGAGAGATGGCTCAGTGGTTAAGAGCATTGCCTGCTCTTCCAAAGGTCCTGAGTTCAATTCCCAGCAACCACATGGTGGCTCACAAACATCTGTAATGAGGTCTGATGCCCTCTTCTGGCCTGCAGGCAAACACACAGAATATTGTATACATAATAAATAAGTAAAATATTAAAAAAAAAAAAAGAAAGAAAGAAAAAGTGTCTAATCCCAGCACTTGGAAGGCAGAGACAGGTGGTCTCGGGTTCCAGTGAGTTCCAGGACAGCCAGGGGTATACAGAGAAACCCTGTCTTGAAAAATCAAAAAGCGTTCTAGTCGGGTGTGGTAACACACACCTTTAATCTCAGCACTCAAGGCAGAGTCAGGAGGAATCTCTGTGAGTTAGAGCCCAGTTTGGTCTATATATTGAGTTCCAGGACAACCTGAGCTACATGGACCCTGTCTTGCACGCACCCCCCCTCCCCGCCGCCTCAAAAAAAAAAGAATCTTGTGGTGTTGTTCAGACTAGCTCTCCACCCCTGGGCCAAAGTCCCCAGGCCACTGAGCATTAAAAGGCCCATTCCACCACAATGTTTGGTGTCTGATTTTGGAGCCCAACACATTTCTTTCATTCTTCCCCTAGACATAAAGGACCAAAGTTTTGTACCCTAGCAGCAGTAATGTAAAAGGGTTCACAGGGACAACAGGGGAAAAGATAAAAAGGCCCTTAAGAACCAGAGTGTTTCCATTTGCCTGGCAAACATGTGCTCAACATTTTTGCTAAGTTACAAAAGCAAGCTCACTGTTGCTCCTTGGTTTTGCTCTGTCAAGCGTTCATGGAACAAAAGTCATTAGATGCCTGCTGTTTGCTGGGCATTGTCTGGGTGTCAGTGCTGGGATTTCACTACATGTTGCAAGTCCAGTGTCAATTATAATTGCTTAAGTCAGTAATTGGGATTTTTTTATTTATATATAAGCATGTTTGTGTTTATGCATGATTTTCCTTTTTGGTGTTAGTGATTCTTAAATTTTTTATTATATTTGTTCATTTTATATGGGAGTGCTTTGCCTGCATGTATGTCTGTACTACGTGCATATTTGATACTCTCTGAGGTCATAAGGCAGTGTCAGATCTGGGAACCAACATATAGATTCTAGGAATTGAACTCAGGATCTCTGGAAGAACAGTCAGTGCTTTTAACCATTGAGCCATCTCTCCAGCCACCCCCACTCCCCCATGCCATTGTTTT